ACGCAATAATAACAATGGTTCTGATGGTTTAAGGGATCCCGCCAGATCATTGATGTTTGATACTTGAAATGGGGTCGTTTTCTATTCGTCCATGATCTCAAAGACTCCACGAATGTTTCACATCCCATATTAGACACCCAGTATCTACTTGTCACGGATGTCCATAGGAAATCCAAAGTAATCAAAATACATGCGTTTCACGAACTCTGACACACTTAGTTTTGAATGTATATTCATACATCAAATCTTTTCCGTAAACGAATCAGCCACGGTCAGCATGAGAAAAGTCAACTCAAATGCTCTTTGAGTCTTTTTTAAAGGTTGTCACTGGGCAGGAGATTCAGCTGTATTGTATGTGAAGCTGCTAGTAAAAACAGAAGACCTGTATCAACAGAACCTGTGTTCTATCGATGATGATGGAATGGATGATGATGATGGAAGTCACAAATATATAAGCTGAACAGTGAAGGATCAAGGATGGATCCTTGAGGAATACCTTTAGTTTCGGGCAGGATCTCTGAGCGGATACTTATTGAACCGAACTCCAGTTTGATAAGTAATTTCTAACCAGAGACAGCGCATCCACAGAAAAACCGAAGAAGCTGAGTTTATCGCACATGATGTCAAAGACAAGAGTGCCGAAGGCTTTAGTCCAGAAGTACTAAACAAGTTAATTCACTTTCATCGACAGCTTTGAAGGGGTCGTCGTTGATGGAAAGTAAAGCTGTGGTTGTCCTGTGTTGAAGTCTGAAACCGGGCTGCACGGGTGTGATGATTTGGTGATCATTTATGAAGCTTCATGATCATCTCAACAACATTTGAAAGACAAAATAGGCCTCCTGAAAGACAAAACCCAAGGTCAGAGAAATGAAATTGCGTATATTCGGAGATTGGCAGATGAGCAAAAGGACACTTCAACAACGAGAATTTCGCGTGAATATAAACGAAAAAAGTAAATGAGCCGGAGCACGAAACTGCTATATCACTTTCCTTATCAGTACTGATGTTACAGAAATACTTAGGATCGTTTTTTCATATATTTCTCAATGTAGACATTGTAACAAAAAAATAATTTGTAAAAAAAATCACTTGGTTTTATGAAAGTTCGGTGTAACTAGTACACAAATATGACCAATAGCTGTATCTCAAAAATTAGAGCTGTTGAAAATATTTGAAATCAGCGATCTCAAATTGGTAAACAATAACCATGGAGTTCCACGCAACAAAAAATAATTTGATTTTGTTCCCTTGTGAAATTGATCCCAGATGCGTATACGTTATATATGTTAGAAAATAGAAAAACATACATACATAATGTAAAAAATTACTTAAGGGTCAACAATGTTACCATCTGTGAAGACTTGTGATAAGTAAGCAAGGACAAATAAATGCTTTGGTGGTTTTTTCAATATAAATGTCAATGTCAAGATTCAGCGCTCCAAAAATAATAAAATAACTATTCGTATTACTGAAATTACCACGATTCTTACTACCAGTTAAGTTTATTTATAACACTAATAAATAGCACACAATTAAAACTGAATATGGGGGTATACACAAAATAGTAGCCCCACAATATCGTGTACTTGAATTTAAATTACAAAAACAACAATGCATAAGTAATCATTGAACATTGCAACTCAATTCATCACTTGACAATAATCCCAATAGAGAAACCTAAACAAATCATTTACATACTGATTAAACTACCAGTAGTAGTAGTAGCAAAAAAACGTGACAGCGACGATATATTTTCAATATCAAATAAACTGTCTGACCCCGATAATATTGAGCAGCTATTAATAAATTTCAGTTTTCGACTTTCATTGATGAACTAAAAATAGAACGATTTATTAACTCCTACTACTATTTTTATAGAACAGTTAATTTATTCAAAACACAAATCGTTCAATGGATTGCCAACAGTTGTAGTTTAACGTGAAATCATTTTCCATAATACAAACGGAGAATGATAAACGAACGATCTTATGAGAATGATAAGTTTGTTGATAATAATAATAATTAATATAATTAAAAATCATAATAATCTGAATGTTTTTCATTCATTTTCATTTCATTCATTCATTCATCGAATTTTAAAAAATGTTATCTTACCTATTAGGGATTCTCATAATTCTGGATACTTTCCATATGCTTGAATAATGATTATTGGCTGAGATACATGTATTAATACTAACAACAATAGAAAACATGAATATATGCTAACATTAAGTTGTAATTAAAAATTTACTTTCCTCTCAGGTAATAAGATAATCAGAATATTTTGCGTTCAGTTTACTACCGCCCAAACTATTTGTGAAACTTTATATAAAACTAGTTGCCGGCGGCTTCGCCCGCCTAGAATTTAGTTTGTCACATTAAATGTCCTACTTCAAAACTGATGATATTCAATAAAATCTTTGAACTCCTATTTTTCCCCCTTGGGGGGTGGAAATTCCTGATTCCTTTCTTGATGTTTATTTACGCTATACAAAGAACCTACCTGTAAATTTAAAGATTCTAGGTTCAGTAGCTTCGGCTGTACGTTAATATAAGAACGGGCAACAGCTGGTAATTTATATTTTTACTTTAAAAGTACAGTAACGTATAAAAGTACATTGCCGAGAGCGCGGCTCGGCGATTGATTAGACCGCCCCTCTACCCCCGCACATCGTCACACGTCGTCTTACAATAGACGCGACGCGTAATGACTTACTGCGTTGCGTCAAGTTAATCTTATCGTGAAAACTTTTGAACGATTCGACCAAATTACTTATTGTAAAAGACAAAGTTTATCTACCTATATTGAATACTTAAAACGACAACTGTATCCATTTTCATTAGAATTTGACAGATATTCTCAAATGGGCAATGCAAAAAGTATCTAATTTAATTGTATTTATGGCTTAGTATTTTGCATATAGTGGCTACCACATAAGAGGTAGATATATGCTATCGCGGACTTTTATTTAGAACTATTTAAGATAAACAATCTTACGGTACATTATCTGCAGCCGTTGGCTGTCCTTGTTCATCTTTCGCTGCCTAAACCGCTGTGCATGCTATTTTTGGCGAGTGCATTGGCTTAGGATGTGGGGGTTGAGCAAACCGGCCATCGGATGCCTGCTTCCATGTAGCCCCGCTTGATACAGAAATTACAGAATCACTGGTGATTCTGTTATTCCCTAACTGAATGGCATCCCAATCATGGTTTAATACTAAGGTGTGTGTATCCGTGCCGAGAGGATGAATGACACTGAGCCTATCAGCTGTATCTACGGAACCTTCAAGAAACCGGGCGCCCTCTCGTCGTAGCATTGCCTTGTCAGGGTAATGCGGGGCTCTGCCGTGATTGACCTTTCCCTAGCTAGTCGTGGGACTTTTATGAACAGAGTAAACTTAAAAATTCTTTCTGACGCCGAGTCTACAGAGGAGATGGATGTCGAGCATACGACTCCAACTGACCTCCTTGTAAATTTAGATCAGGAGCGAGAACTTCTCAACTCTCCAACTCCTGATCCAATAACCGAACCTAAAAACAAGGTTTGGTGGTGCAGCCAGAAAACGACTGATTCGTCCCCTCAAGAGCTGGGTACCTTATGAAACCGCCTTGCACCAAATTCTTTAGCGGCGTACGCAGAATCTGTCTCAGGTGGAGGAACAAACCCCCCATGAGCAAGTTAGCAAACGTTTGCGCTCAAGTGAGTATTCACCAAAACCAGAGGCGAAAAAGCCCTGCACGGTTGAATCTAAGGCATCGTCAGGTGTAGCTGACGTGCAAAAACCCTCAATTGGGAAAGTTGTCGCGGTTATTAAGGTGGGAATCTTGCACCTCATTAACGATGAAACCGCATAGCATATACTTTGTGCCTGCCCCGCTGGGGACCGAATCAGGTTCTTAGAGTTCGACAGAGCCGTACTCTTACCATCTGACCTTTTATTTGGTCGAGGGTGAATAGATGTGAGCCACAATAAACCCTTGTGGGTTTCGGTGGGGGGTCCTAACCTAACCTAACATTATCTGCATGTAACTCCAACGGTAAAGGCAGCGCACGCCAAGATAGCTCTCAGAGAGCAAGAATTTTTTGGGCTTACTTAATACTTACCGTTATATTATGACAAAAATTACACAAAATCTTCGTGAATTGTAGCCTCTATTGTATAGGCTATATTTATGTAAAGTTTCATCTAAATCCGTTCAGTCGTTTAGGCGTGAGAGCCAGAAACATACATAAATAAATACATCCATCCTCACAAACTTTTACATTTACAATATTAGTATAGATATAAAATTTTAATAGTTACTACAACTAATGTGTTGGAGAAGGTTAACATTTCCGCACGGAGCACTTTAACGAATTATATGAATATAGTTTCTACACGTGTCACGTGATTGGGCCAGTCAAATTGAAATACATGAAGAGAAGCCAGAAACATACATAAATAAATACATCCATCCTCACAAACTTTTACATTTACAATATTAGTATAGATATAAAATTTTAATAGTTACTACAACTGATGTGTTGTATGAATATAGTTTCTACACGTGTCAATAGAATTTGCCAAATTATTATTGTGATTGGGCCAGTCAAATTGAAATACATGAAGAGTCCTAAATTTTCATTTCTGATTGGTTTCTTCGAAACAAAAGCACCCCTGCATATACTAGACACCATTCGATGTTTTACTTCAGAATTGCCACTGCAATAAGCAACCCTAACCTGATCAATTAAATGATAAATAGGCATGTAAACTGTGAGTATGACAGGTAGTTGAGGCAAATGCTACCTTCTTGCCGTAAAATGTGAATATATTCACCTATCAGTGAATATCTTCATTTCACCAGGCCATTAAATAATGTTTTATAGAGATCTTGAGGGTTGATAAATTATGGAGAAAAAGACTGGGTGATTTGTATTCATTATATCTGCAGGTGACCAACATGAGAAAAAAACGCACTTTGGGAAATTTATTACATCGTTTAAAATGGTTTAATGAAGACTTTTACAGATCCTGAATATCGTGTTATTCAATTAACAAAATAATGTTAAACGTGTTGAAGATTCCAAAACGGTGTAGTTTTGCTGTTTTTCATTCAGCTACCTGAAACATAAAATTGATTTTTTTGAAAACCGGTGCCAGAATTATGATCATTAATTTTGAAAAACTAATTTGATTGTATTTATTAATTCTATGAAAGTGAAAAAATACATATAGGTGAGTCAAAAAACTTGGCAAGATAACTTGTGTGCCTCACCAATAGGCGGTTGCTCCACTCGCTTGCAGTGATTTTTATTGAATACATGTCTTGGTTTTTCACGGTTTGCCTTCAATCGAGAGCCACCTGCCCAGTGCTGATGATGCCATCAGGCTGAAAAAGCTGTCTACCGGTAGCTCCTGAATTGAAACAAAATTGTGGATCGAAAAAATTAGAACTAGTCTAGTTCCAAACTTCAGACATCACCAGAAGATGGCAAATGAGACTTTACCGAAACGACGTGAAAATTATCCTTGTGAGGATCGAAAATACAGAACACGGAATGGAACCCGGAAACACAACCCATCATACTCTGTCCGTGAGAATCTTCGATGTAACATACGTTGTTGAATCATTTAATTTTCGCAATACAACCCATAGCTCATTTTTTCATCGTTAACCAAACCCGTTACTTCTGATCTAGTTCAGGATTACTCTGATTCATTGAAAAATGTAAAAATAAAAAGATTTATCAGTTGAATCACTTTTGAACAAAGATTTATCAGTTTCTTATGTGGCCGAAAATAATATTGCTGTGAAATTGATGTGGATCACTCAATTATTGATCAATCACCTCTAGATAGTCCTCTAACGAAATAGTAACTTCCATGATGTAGTTGTTGTAGAAGAATATATTGATTACATTGAAACATCAGATGTCTGCCATTGAGGAAGATAGTGTTTCATGTGAGTGAAATTTTCCCTCTTTCACATACTATTTTGTGTATCGATCCTGTAAATGATATCTGATTCAACTCCATAACGAACATTTGAAGTGCAAACTAAATAGAAAAATGTTTGTTTCGAAAGTACTTTTTCTCTCATGTAATTCTATGTTTATATGGAAGTAGCTGTTTGGATGGAATTATCTATTCCAGTTTGTGTCTGAAAGTTACTTCTTTGCATGAACTACATATCTTTGAATAGAGTTAGTTCATTTTGTAATTAATTGCTTAAAAATGGAGAAGTACAAACTAAAAACCTTTCTCTCCCCCAAAAACAGGATATTGATGTATTTGTTAATAACATTGATGGCTTTAGCATTTTATAAACAAGTTGAAAATTATACTTCACAACAAACTCATGCCTTCACTGGATGTTATACTACATCCGATTTTTATAGTAAAAATAATAATTCAATAATTTCAATAAAAAATTTGTAATTATCAGAAGTTATACACAGTAGCTGATACTTTAATGGTTAAAAACACGTGAAAAACTTCTTTTATCTGTAAGTATCAATTTTATTCTGTACGGAACACAACTGTCAAAAACGTTAATGAACTACGATACAAACGTTTCATAGCATTAGTTTCAAGGAACAAGGACGTAAGTGTTTTGGAGAAATATTGAATTGACAAGTTGATCCTTAATGATAAAACAGACGAGTGAGTTTTGACAGGGATTAAACTGAATTATTGTTAGACCATTTGCAAGCAAATGCGCATTATATCCATCTAAAAAAAACAGGTATTAACTTTGATCCCTGCCGAATACCTACCTGCTGGTTATGTCATACATAATTAAATTATTATACATATCCATGAAAAAACTATATAACTCAGTTTGCAGAAATGTAACACATTGAATGCAACATTGAACAAAAAAACAAGTACAATAATAGAAAGATATTGCTTCATAATTTTTCCTGAAAAATGGGACTAAAAATCAATTAAAACGAATAAAGCTGCAGCTGTTTTCTAAAGAGGTTTTTAAAGGTTTGTCTTCTTCAAATAAATAATTGATTGATGTATAACGTATATATCTACAATTATTCACTTCAGTACCATGATTATTATAAGAATAAGAACTTTGAAGTTAGTGTCATAATTATTATGTGAATAACTAACGTATAGTTGTTATAATAATAAATATATGAAAACTTTTTTTCAAAAAAAAAGGCACGCATCAACATCAGAGCTGTTTCTGAGAACCTATGATATGAGAAGTGAATTCCGTTTAATTCAATGTTCACAATCGAAATTAGTTGTTTTGGATAGATTTCATCTTCCAGATCGTGTAACTTCTATGCATGATGTACATATATTTGTGAAAGTTTTCCATAAGTATATATGAGTATTTGTTATAAATGTAAGCAATACAGCACATTAGCACATTTCTGTCTATAGGAATCGCTTCTTAAAATTGACGGAGGAAATACCTTGTAGGCGTGTGAAACAAATTGAAAAAAGTTGAAGATTTTACTCACGTGAGCCGTTTTCTATACCATCAATTAGCAAGTGCGGAAGCTCACCTGAAACAAATATTAGTATTTATATTCTGCTTTAGACTGTTATAATACTCAATAAGATCAATAAGCTATACTTGAAAGAGAGTTAAAAATAGTATTTTGTGAAACAATATAGGTGCTTGAATCAAGTAGACACCCATTTCAAAGTACCTATGCGCATGAACAAACCCCAGAACCAGCGATTTCGCAAAAGGTACAAGAAAAAGATTTCTTTTCATTCTCGACAAAAAACTTGGAGCAACTTGAGAAACCCAATGTCTTCCCGGAAAATATTATTATAATGTCGAGAAGAAAACTGAAATTGGTGTCAAGTTGAAAGAGGAAACCCCTCCGATAGTGGTGGACGGTTCGGACCCCTTAATGGGGTGGGCCGCACCACAGTTGGGAGGCAGAAAAACAGGAGACAAAGTACATGAAAGAAATGCTGAAAACGGCCCTAGAATAATAAATTCCTTGATATGGAGAAGACCCTCTCCCTTAGAGGACAGACCACACTATGTGGGGACTGCACCTCGAGAGGAGGGTCGGACGGCATCAGAACAAAACCCTCACATGGTGGATGTAGTGGAGGAGATCAAAACCCCAATCAGACCAATAGTGCAGGCGACTAGACTAGTCTATGAATCAGCAAGGCAGAAAAGTCATAGGATATTCAAAATACCGATACCTCTCATACTGCCTCATAAGAAAATGAAAGGACAATAATATCCAGTGAGGAGCATGAGGACACATCCCCGAAACACAAGAGAAAGAGAAAAAGGTAATTGACGTACAATTCCCCTACCCTAACCTTAGATTCTTTGAAGCATCATTATAACGCATCTGAAAAATATCAGGAATATAATAGAGACCTGATATCAAAACTCGATAATCTCTAACAGAATATCCAAAGAAAAGTGAACGAAAGATTGTAAAGCATCGATTGTTTTTTCTCCTGTACTGTACTCTTATAGTCACTAACGGAAATTGTAAATAATTGCAGTGGGGAAATAATTCGAGGAGAGATATTTTGGAGAGGCCAGAGAAGAGATAAAAAGGCTTGAGAACTTCATGAAAGGAAAACACCAGACAAAAACGAAAACAGAAGCACCACGAAAGGGACAGAGTAAAGAGCAAGAAGATTTTTCACCATTGCCAGAGAAGGACGAGGTATCAAACCCAAAAAGAGCTCTAGAGGCGCCAAGTTTCGAAAAGAAACCAACAACAAACCACGAAACTAGACAATAACCTTTCCAATACGTTTTAAATCATCAAAACCACATGTGAGCTGACGATCAGTTCTTCCGCCATCCCTCACAGCGTCTGTGATGGATCAGTCTCAAATAGGGTTTTCACACCTTCTTCCTGGATTACTGTAGATCGACTATTTCGGGCCTCATCTTCAAGGCTAAATTCTCCGGAACAAAATTTCGCAACTCAACGTCGAACAGTGCATTCAATAATACTATCATTGCCAAACGCCTAGTTGGCAGTGACAATACATTGAATGTAATAATGTGAAATACATATATTACAGTGAAACAAAAGGTCAACTACGCGATAACAGATTTTTCGAAAACCTTTGTTCGAAAGTTCCAAGATAAATCGCATCTACTATAACGCCCATCTTAAAACCATCAATATCTACACCAAGGTTAAGTGGGAAGTTGTCAATCTTTATAACAGTGTGAACGCTTTCTTCGAGTTTTTTGACCGTGGGCTACAGGATTTTTGCCTGAAATTTCGTCTACTACTGCGGTAGACATTACCGAAAGCGATTAGGGAACTATCGCAATGCTCGAGTTGTTGATCCCGTTGTACCCAAAGCATTGTAGTTTCTGGGTAGGGAACAACAACTCGAGCACTAACTCGAGCACTGCGACCGTTACCTCATCACCTTTGATGTATACCGCAGTAGTAGACGAAACGTCAGGTATAAAAACCTGCAGACCACGGACGCCGGAAAAAAGATTTCACACTGGTATCTCCGGAGGTGAAAGTTCATATTCTTTTATCTTTATTACGTTCAGTCATATATATTTCAATTATCATAATACAAGTTGCGTAAAAATGCTTTTAGTCATAACAACAAAATCATTTCTTTTTTTACCGTTTACGAAGGTCAATTCGATCATATCAATGTATAGAAGAGATATGGTCCTCATTTCCAACATTTATTATAATTTGAATGACCAATGCATAGGGTGCTATATAGTGTGTTGCAGCTGAAACTTGTTACCCCCGTTATCTGCGAACTCGTAAAAAAAATTTAAAATCGCTCAGACCCGTAGCGTAATCTGAGTAAAACCAAATTTCAGATCAATCTGTCAACAGGAAGGGGGTGAAACCCCAATTACTAAATTTGACCAAAACAAACAAACAGGGCAAGCTGAATAAAACCATTTGATTAAAAAAAAAAACAAAAATTGAAAAATGTACATTGTATGAAACAAACTACATTAATTCACAGTAGAAATTCGCATTTCTCCATTAACTATCACGGATGAATGTAAGTTAGTCTCGCAAAGTTGTCTGACAGTATTTTTGGAGTTACTTATTGACATAGTTTTTCGGCAAATTGGTGCCAAAATGAAAAGCTACGTAGTGAATAGTCACATGGATGAATTCCTTGTGAAATTTCAGATTATGGTAGGGAAAACAATTTTTATATGTCATTTTTTTCCTGTCAGAAAATTATACATCTGTAATAAGAAAGTATGAAATTTGTTTGTGAAGCTGAAAACAAGGAAATTATGATTTGTGAATTGATATTAATAATAGCAAATGAAATAGAAAACCATAAAACATGAGTTTGATCTATAAAATGTAATAANGTTTCTCAACTTCTGAGAGATGTCGTTCGTATGGGGGGCGACAGCTGATTAACAAAAAAACAGATTTTAAACAGAAATACCTCAAGCTCTTCGATCCTGACTCCTGTACTCTTCGAAGTTATTATAAGCACTAGTTGTCTCACATGGATGAATCCTCAGGTGAGGGTTCAGTACGCATCTTCGAAAACTGTAGAAAAACACACTAAACCTCCTATCTCACCCGCACGTTGCCCTTTAGTCAACTAAGCAAGTTTTACAAATCATCACTGAAACTGTATGATTAGCATACGTAGTATTAATCATCTCTTTACTCATAGCACGAATAATTTGCCTAACCGATTGTTAAATTGTTTATGATAAAATTCCCTCTTGACCACCACAATATGAATCAAGCGTACAGGAAGTTGTGGTTTTACAATGGAAATCAAAGGTAATATTCAATGTAATTCTTTGATGAATGAAATAGGATGTTACAAAATTTAAAAAAAAAACCTTGTTTATATTTTCATCGACATTTTCGGGGATTTTTATAATCATGTATATTGTACACTTAGGGTTGTCAGAAAAATAATTGATATGTGTTAGGGGATGATCTCTAATATCTTCCATCTTCATAACTTATTTGAAAAGAATTCTGAAAGATATTTGTTCTTTGAGACATTTTTTAGGAAGGGGAATATGTTTCTTACAGTTAAAAAAACTAATTAATACAGTTTATTGTTTGATTTTCACTATAAAGGGTTTTACAAAAACCGCGACACGTATTTCGCTTCACAATAGCTTCCTCAAGCGTAAACTGAGAGTTACTTCTAAATTACAACCATTTTATTACCTGCCAATAAACAGATTCAATAATGGCGATCTACTCAATTCCGTCCATTAGATGTTGAGTTTTTGAATTTGTTTATTTAAGTTTCAAACCTTTCTTCTGGAAATGGAGGGGCTTGTATTCATGATTGAACTCATTTCCCTCTGAGATAAAATGAGTGGCATATGTGGAATTCATTTTTCCATTCTGGAAACTATATTTGTGTTCATTTGTGTTCGTTTATGCGGGGGTGTATAAATTATCGTGTTGGTCATGTCCGATGTTTTATATAGGTCAAACTGGAAGCACTTTCAAAGCCCGCATAAAGGAACACAAAAATAATTTTCAGAATGGATAAATAAATTCCACATATGTCACATATTCAATCACAGAAGGACATGAGTTCAACCATGAATACAAGCCCCTCCATTTCCAGAAGAAAGGTTCGAAACTCAACCTGTCGGAGAGTATGGAAATATCCAAATCAAAAACTCTCAACATCTTATGGACGATCAAACGGAATTGAATAATTCGCCATTATTGAATCTGTTCATTGGCAGGTAAAAACGGTCAGGTATATTTACAAGTATACTTTCGAAAAATTTATTGATACAGGCAATGAATTCATACCTGACCTCTTCAGGTAGATTCATTATTTAGGCAGACGAGTAGGTAATAGGTAATAGTATAAAATGGTTGTAATTTAGAAGTAACTCTCAGTTTATACTTGAGGAAACTATTGTATAGCGAAACACGTGTCGCGGTTTTACCCCAAAATGCGCCAATAAAAATCTCTAGTTTCCTCCACAAAACATGACTCGTTCAAAATTTCTGCTCAAACTATAGGGTCTTCCAACAGGGAATTCCGAACTTTGACAATTGATAACGGCCATCTTGTTGAAACTACATCTGTCAAATTATTTGTTATTTATTCAGTCTGTTTTGCCAAATTACCTTGAACAGATACAGCACTCAAAAACACGTGCAAATAATGAAATTGTTTTATCAAAATGGGTGTTCCCATTTTATGGTCGTCATAATAGTCCTACCGACAGGACTATTCACTATTCGCAATTTGGTGGATAAGAAATATCCAAGATATGCCGAAAACATCGTCGCTGTCTGTGAAAGTCTGCAGGAAAATCCGAGACAGTCGATTTCGCATCGCTCACAAGAAGTTGGCCTTCCGCAGACCACAACTTGGCGAATTTTGCTTCGTCCTTATTTCTTTAAGAACGACGTTGGCTAGGTCATCACTGTCAGCTGCGAGCACTATAGGTCGATGATTTTCAATTTATTTTGGCCTGAATTGGATGATCTGGACACCAACGGAATGTGATTTCAACATGACGGCGCTACGTGCCACACAGCTCATGTCACATTGGATATTCTGCACGAGCGATTTGAGGGCATGGTCATCTCACGTGTAGGTGATGTGAACTGACCACGGTTATAGTGCGATTTGACCCCGTTAGACTTTTTCTTGTGGGGTTTTCGTAGATCGCAGGCGTTTTAGAATACGTCACACATACCACAGCGGTTCTCAAAGCCAACATAACTCATGCTATCGGTCAAATTCAGCCTGATTTATGCCCCCGAGTCATGGAAAATTGGACGTTTCGGATGCGCTCCACCTGGAGAAGCCATGGCGGACATTTGAACGATGTTATATTCCACACATAAGGGCAGCAACAGGTCTTTCTAACGATTAAAAACTTTCGATGATATCTCACACACACTTTGTTTTATTTATATTTCAATATAGGAATCGCTTAATGCTTAATGAAACACCCTACAGTAGAATCTGTAGACAGCAAATTCTTCGTATCAATAGTTTTAACTTTGTGCAGTAGTACACATCCGCAATTAGTGGAAATTTAGCAAGAATATAATAACTTAGGAATCACACGTTAAAAGGTAAGACCTTGTTAGTCCTTAGCTCGCACAAGTTTCGACTTCTGAGGGTTGTCTTGTTTTACGGAAAAAAACATATTTTAAACATAAACAACATATACTGGCTGATAAAATTTATAATAAATTAAAATCTAACCTGGTACTGAAGCTAACCTACCCTAGATTCAAATATTAACAAAGCATTAACAATGTCCAAAGATATAAAAGTATATTACGTACCGAGTAGGATAAGAAGCCAATTACCCACGAGCGAAAAATTGTAAGCACGAGGAGCCGAGTGCGATAATTGGCGAGTGGACGCAATGGGGAATGTTCCTAAATTTGGGTTATTACAGCAAATGCAAGTTTGAACAAAATAACGTTGAGTTTAGTTCATGAGTTTTTCAAATTCACTTCGAAAAGTATTCAAATTGATGTTTCTAATGTTGGATAAATCAACAATTAAGGCAAAATATAAATTATAGTTCAATACAACCTCCACAAGCCATATAAACAACAGTTGTTTTGTTATTCATTTATATAGAGGAAGATAGGTAGGTGCACATATGTCACAAAATGTCTTGGAACTGGGAACATAAGTAAACAGAACAGCACGCCTCTGAAATATGTTATCTTTGTTTGTCTCATACAGGTAACAGATTCATTTTCCTTTATTAGCTATAACAGATGTTGCCAAATGGTGAAATAGAAACGAATCCCTTTAAATGTTGAAGGCATTATTTCATTCCTCTTTTTTAAGTATTTAAATGATTTTTTAAAGAAAACGTTGAAATGATAAGTTTAAAATACGTTGTTTTGGAGCTATTTTATGAAAACTACTTGATTTTCGTCAGGAGGAACATTCCCCATTGACCTTATCTTCGAGGTGCGTAGTATACATTTTCTACGACTAACCGTAGAAAGGAATGGTATAATATATTTGTTTGAAATTAGGCTCTGGATAATAAACTCATTCAATTAGTCAGTCAGAACTCAATTGATTGATTTAAAAATTGGTGATAATATTTCCTACAAATTAATTTATTAGGGTTCATTTTTGTTATACGTTTTTGCTAAATTTTTGAAATAAACGATAAGAACGTTCTCGGAAAGCGACGTTATGTTTTTTTCCTCTCCAACCCATAAAATTTTCGAAAATATATTCGTATGTTTCTCTGATTTTGCTGGCAGCCAATTAAACAAAGGCAATATTCATTTGCTCGCTAATATCTAGTGGGGTAGCAACAATTTCTTGATCGTTATCACTCATTTTGAATTTCTACTTGATACTGAATGACTGCTCATAATTAAAACAGGTGGTTGTTGATTCACGGATATAACTGGATTTATTACCAACCCACAAACTTTGAACAATAAATTTACTGAAAATATGGTTTTCAATTCGATTGTGTAGATACTATAAAAAAATTCACTGACTTTGAATTTTGGACAATTGAATGTATTCATGAGATCCTATTTATCAGAGTAAATGTTACACATTAGTGTGCTGTCACTGATTGGGAAACTTTTCCACGGATGAGGCGTAGTTACTCTTGAGGGGCGTCCACCCTTTGCCGATCGGCATCATTCGGCTTGAGCCGATTAACAAAATCTAATTAGTAGGTTTGTTGTGTTTCTACGAAATTAAGGTTTTATTGAGGATAAGTTCGGATTGATGAATCCTCTGTTCTGGTTTCGACTGCGAAATGATCCTAAACTGTCTTGAACTAGTTGAACCGTCCCGAATCGTTCTTGCTCTCTTTGCTCATGCGCATTCATGTGGAAATTTGTTTGGCCTCTTTTCTAGGATGGTTTTCATTTATTTGATTTAAATAATTGATGATTGAGGTTAGATAACATTTGAACTAACTACATAACAAAATGGATATGATCAACAGTATTTTCTCGTCTTCATCTCTTCATATATACGATAGGTGGCACAATGGTCTCCTCAAAATGCGTTCTGGTTTGACCAAGTGTTGGAGACTATTTCGGACTGTTTGAGATTTTTTGCTTGTACGCATCATGTCTTGCGCAGTTTCCAAACAGTTTCGGATGTTAGAACCAGAACAAACCTAATGTAGACGTGTCTATAGTTCTCAACAACTTGCCGAAAGCCGACCCGAATGATGTCTGTCCATCCTAAACTTAACCAAGTCGGTTCATAGTATGAATGAGGATAAATTAATCGCGATTTCAGTCGAATTCCAACCGCCTATTGCTCAACATTTTCTAAAGTGTAGGTGAATAACTGTGTTTTGTGCTGAAAATGAGTTTCACGTGGAGTGATAAGGAAATATCATTAAGTATCAAAAGTTCGGAAATTTCATACTGGAAATTGTTGCATTCGTGATCCGGCCTAGTTCCACTGATGATATTTATGGCAGATCGAAATATCCAAAAATATAATGAATGGAAATCGCACATTTTCAATGAGCAGAGAGATTACTTTCCACATTAAGATGTGTCCTTTCAACTCACAACCTTTAAAAACGACTCGGGTC